CCAGCAGGGTATTCCCCTTCAATTGAAACAAAAGGGGTTCAATATTTATTTGGCCGACGGTTCCCGAATAAAATCGGGGGTAGTGAACCAGGAAACCCCCTCCATCACCACTGTCATTGCCGGCCAGCACCAGGAACTCCTCCGCCTGGATGCTATAGCTTCACCCCTCTTCCCAGTCATTCTGGGGCTCCCATGGTTACGGGCCCATAACCCCCAGATTGACTGGGAAACCGGAGTAATCACGTTCCCTTCCCCATACTGTCGGATATACTGCCGCACTTCGGGCCCAGGGACCCCCAAATCCTCCTGTGCTCTGAGGTGGAAGCTGAATTAAAACAAGTAATCCCTGCGGCCTACCATGGGTTTCTAGATGTGTTCAGCAAACGGGGGGGAGCTACTACTCCCCCCCCACCGCCCTTATGACTGCCCCATTGACCTGTTACCCGGCTCAGAAATTCCTTTTGGGCGAATCTTCCCCCTTTCAGAGCCCGAATTGGGGGCCCTAAAGGAATATATCGAGGACAGCCTCCAGAAGGGGTTCATCCGCCACTCCACTTCACCGGCGGGGGCGGGAATCTTCTTTGTTGAAAAGAAGGACAAAACCTTAAGGCCATGTATCGATTACAGGGAATTGAACAGGGTCACGATAAAAAACCGTTACCCACTACCGTTAGTACCTGAACTGTTCCAAAGTTTAAAGTCAGCAGTAGTTTTTACCAAGCTGGATCTGAGGGGGGCGTACAACTTGATTCGCATAAGGGAGGGGGACGAGTGGAAAGACGGCCTTCCGCACCCGCTTCGGTCATTTTGAATATCTGGTCATGCCGTTCGGGTTGTGTAATGCTCCGGCCACGTTTCAACATTTTGTAAATGATATTTTTTAGAGATTTTCTGGATGTCTTTGTGATCGTTTATTTAGACGACATTCTGATTTTTTTCCCCGTCTCTGGGGGAACACAGAATACATGTAGCAAAAGTATTGGGGCGGCTGCGGCAGCATGGGTTGTACGCCAAGGCAGAAAAATGTTGTTTTGAACAATCCAGCATTGCCTTCTTGGGACTGATTATCTCCACCGCGGGGGGTCGCGATGGATCCCCAGAAGGTCGCTGCAATACTGGATTGGCCTGAACCCACAGACAGGAAAGGCGTCCAGCGATTCATCGGCTTGCAAATTTTTTACCGGAAGTTCATCAAGAACTTCTCGGGTCTGGTCTCCCCCATTACTCAGCTAACCAAGCTGGGGACCCGATTCAGATGGACACCAGAAGCGCAGGAAGCTTTCGATGCCTTAAAGAAGCTGTTCACTTCGGCACCCATTTTGGGTCACCCAGACGCCGCTCTGCCCTACATCTTGGAGGTAGATGCATCGGAGAATGCGGTAGGCTCCATCCTCTCCCAACGAAAAGGCACCAAGGAACTGCTCCACCCGGTAGCGTTCTTCTCACGGAAACTGACCCCAGCGGAGTGGAACTATGATATCGGTGACCGTGAGCTACTAGCGATCAAAACGGCGTTAGAGGAATGGAGGTACCTGCTGGAAGGTGCGGTGCACCCCATCTTAATATTTACTGACCATAAGAACTTAGAGTATCTGAGAACTGCCAAGCGTCTACGCCCGCGACAGGCGAGATGGGCACTATTCTTTTCAAGATTCAACTTCCATATTACGTACCGGCCGGGATCAAAGAACACTAAGCCGGATGCGTTATCACGGATGTACGAAGACGCCAAGGAGACCCCAGTACCTGACACCATCCTATCCTCGGGTAACTTCTTGGTCCTTCAGTCGGACCTTCGTTCCAGGCTAATGGAGGCATCCACAAACTTCTCTACCCCAGGCGGAGGGCCACTCCAGAACAAGGGGGGACTCCTATGGAGGGAAGATCGAATTGTGGTGCCGGAAGAAGCTCGAACCCTGGTCTTGGGGCATTGCCACGACCACCCAATGGCGGGGCACTTTGGCCCAGAAAAGACCCTGGAACTTCTCCGACGCTCATTCTGGTGGCCAGACATGGCTAAAGATTGTAAGGGCTATGTCAGGTCCTGTGTCACCTGCCAGAAGAACAAGCCCTCAAGAAACAAGGTTTGGGGTCTGCTGCGACCCTTACCTATTCCTGAACGGCCTTGGCAAAAGATCTCACTAGACTTTATATAGTCGAGCTTCCGCCATCCCGAGACCACACGGCAATCCTGGTAGTCGTGGACCGCTTGTCCAAGATGGCCCACTTCATCCCGTTGAAGAAGACCCCCTCGGCGGCCGAGACCGCGCGAGTCTTCATTCGTGAGGTAGTCAGGTTGCATGGGGTCCCCGAAGACATTGTCTCGGACCGAGGGGTCCAGTTCACGTCCAGATTCTGGAGAGCACTGTGCAAAGCCCTGGACATCAAATTATCTCTCTCTTCTGCGTTCCACCCTCAAACTAACGGTCAAACCGAAAGGACCAATCAGACCTTAGAGCAATATTTGAGATGCTATACCTCATTTACTCAAGATGACTGGCTGCCACTTCTTCCTTTAGCGGAATTTGCGTATAACAACGCCCGCCACTCAGCAACAGGGCAGTCCCCGTTCTTCGCCAACTATGGCTTTCACCCAGTCTTCCTCCCGGATTTGGTGTCGGAATGCCCAGTACCAGCAACACAAGATGTGGTAACGTTCTTCGCTGCGAACAATGAGAAGCTTCAAGTGGCCATCAGTCGGGCCCAGGAAGACTACAGGAAAGCATTCAACAGGAAACGGAGAGGAGATCTGGTATTGCGGCCTGGGGAGAAGGTTTGGCTGGCGACGTCCAATCTAAAGATGCTTTGCCCGTCGAAGAAATTGGGACCCAAATTTATAGGCCCCTTCTGCATTAAACGGATGGTTAACGAAGTAGCCTATGAACTCGCCCTCCCTGACACTCTCAAGATCCACCCGGTCTTTCATGTGTCCCTTCTGAAGCCTGTGGTCCCGGATGCCTTCCCTGACCGGGAATCTAGACCCCCGGAAGCGGTAACGGTCGAAGGAGAAGAAGAATTTGAGGTTGAAACAATCCTGAAGTGTCGAAGGAGGGGAGGCCAGACCCAATTCCTTATCAAATGGAAGGGCTATGGTCCTGAGGACAATTCTTGGGAACCAGCCCATAATGTCCATGCACCCAGACTTGTCCGGAGGTTCTTTCGCGATCACCCGTGGTGGAGAGATCGGATGGGCATCCGGAGGTTGCCCGTAGGGGGGGGGGCAATGTCAGGGATCCCCTCGATCCCCGCCGCGTTGGTCCCGGCGCAGGCGCAGTATGCCGCCCGGCGCAGGGACTCGAGCACTGGTTCCGGGCCGGCCGCGGCGTTCGAGTTCGCGCATGCGCAGTAGAAGCCGCGGCCGCCCGCTGGGGCACCAATGGCAGCGCAGGGCGGGATATTTAAACGACCCTGAGCTGTCATTCAGTGCCTTCTGGTCTTTCCTGCATTCTGAATCCTGTGAACCTGTACCCTGTAAGTTATTGACCCGGATTGAACCTGACCTTGCTGTTTTCGCCTGTTCTGACCCTTGCTTTGCCTGACCTCTCTCCTGAATGCCCCCTATTGGATTTGACCTGCTGTTGCTGACCTGGCGTGTGACCCGACCATTCTATGCCCGCTGCCTTGTACCTTGCCGCCCTCTCTGTTACCGACCCGGCCCGTCTGACCCTGCTCATCCATCCATCCATCCCGTGCAGTGGGGTCTTCTGACCTCCTCACATCAGACTCTTCCCCGTGGGAGCCCCTTGCGCATACTACTACCACTGACGGACGCACCCGGTAGTCACGACCTGGTCTCAGGGAGCTCCAAGTCCATCCCCACCATCAGGGGCCCTGGTGAACAAGCACCCTGGGACTTAGACTCCGTGCGCTGGGGACGCCTATTCAGTGGAGTGCTAGTAGTACCACCGGGCGGTCCCTTACACAGGGAGTATGCTTATCAAACTCTGAAGGAGTATCCCCGGGATGAACTGCTAGAATGTATACGGCTCGCTCATGTTCTAGTAGATCAGGGCATAGAGTTCTCTGAGGTGCAGCCATTGATTGAGGTTTGTGCTGAGTTGGCTTCATCTGGTACCCCCGAATGCAGGGATGAATTTTTGCCACCATTTAGTGCAGACCAGGTAGAGTCCCTGGTGTGGTTATTAGAGGATGATGTGGATTGCTTCTTGGAGCGTTATTCTGCATGTTCACCACAGACACTAAGAGATTGTATAAACGCAGTGCAGTCTTTGGTCAGACAGGCTTTGTGTAAGCTCAGCTTTGTTCAACCCATACTGCAGACATGGACAGATTTGTTGCACCCAGCCTCAGTCAGCTTACAAAAACCCAGTCCTGCTTCTAATCTATTTCCTCAAAACTCTATTCCTGCATTCCCAACAGCTCCTCCTGCCCTGCTATCTACCGCATGTCAGTACCCTGTTCCCACTCGCTGCACCTATCCTGCCTTTAACCCTGTAAAGAAGCCCTCTGTAGCAACTGCTCCCTCTCCTGTTCCATCCTCCAGTTCTTCTCTGTCTCCAGCTGCTCCATTCGTTTGCAGACCTGCGTTTACTTGCAGTGCTCCAGTAGTTAAAACCAGAAAAAAGCGAAAATTCTTTCCAACCATACCATCCTGCCAGTATCCAAACCGGTGAACCTGCCTTCCGTGGTTCAGCCTGAAGCCTCTACTCAGCCTGAATCCTCTACTCGGCCTGAATCCTCTACTCGGCCTGAATCCTCTACTCGGCCTGATGCCTCTACTCGGCCTGATGCCTCTACTCGGCCTGATGCCTCCACTCGGCCTGAAGCCTCTACTCAGCCTGAAGCCTCTACTCAGCCTGAAGCCTCTACTCAGCCTGAATCCTCTACTCAGCCTGATGCCTGTACGCAGCCTGATGCCTCTCTTCAGCCTGATGCCTCTACTCAGCCTGAAGCCTCTACTCAGCCTGAAGCCTCTACTCAGCCTGAAGCCTCTACTCAGCCTGATGCCTCTACTCAGCCTGATGCCTCTACTCAGCCTGATGCCTCTACTCAACCTGATGCCTTTACTCAGCCGGATGCCTGCATTCAGCCTGATGCCGCTACTCAGCATGATGAACTGATCCAGCCTGACGATCCTATTAGGCGCCAGTTGACTCGAAGCCCGCTGTTGATCCAGATGATCCGGTACCTGATCCGGTGCCCGCTGTCGTGCCAATTGACTCAGAGCCCGCTGTCGTACCTGGTGACTCGGTGCCCACTGCCTTGCCAGATGACGCGGTGCCCGCTGGCGAGCCCAAATGACCTGATGCCTGGTGACCCAGTGCCCGCTGTCATACCTGGTGACCCGATGCCCGCTGTCGAGCCAGACAATCCGGTACCTGATGACCCGGTGCCCGCTGTCGTGCCAATTGAGTCAGAGCCCACTGCCGTGCCTGGTGATTCGGTGCCCGCAGTCTTGCCAGACGACTCGGTGCCCGCCTGTTCCGCCAGTTGACTCGATGCCCGCTGTTCCGCCAGGTGACTCGGTGCCCGCAGTCTTGCCAGACGACTCGGTGCCCGCAGTCTTGCCAGACGACTCGGTGCCCGCAGTCTTGCCAGACGACTCGAAGCCCGCTGTTCCGCCAGTTGACCTCGATGTCCGCTGTTCCGCCAGTTGACTCGGTGCCCGCAGTCTTGCCAGACGACTCGGTGCCCGCAGTCTTGCCAGACGACTCGGTGCCCGCAGTCTTGCCAGACGACTCGAAGCCCGCTGTTCCGCCAGTTGACTCGGTGCCCGCAGTCTTGCCAGACGACTCGGTGCCCGCAGTCTTGCCAGACGACTCGAAGCCCGCAGTCTTGCCAGTTGACTCGGAGCCCACTGTCGTGCCTGGTGACTCGGTGCCCGCCGCTCCGCCTGGGGGCCCGAGACCTGTCGCTCCGCCTGGGGGTCCGGCGCCCGCCGCTCCGCCTGGGGGTCCGGCGCCTGCGCTGTCGCTCCGCCTGGGGGCCTGAGACCTGTCGCTCCGCCTGGGGGCCTGAGACCTGTCGCTCCGCCTGGGGACCTGAGACCTGTCGCTCCGACTGGGGGCCTGAGACCTGTCGCTCCGCCTGGGGGTCCGGCGCCCGCCGCTCCGCCTGGGGGCCCGAGACCTGTCGCTCCGCTTGGGGGTCCGGTGCCTGTCGCTCCGCCTGGGGGCCTGAGGCCTGTCGCCCCGCCTGGGGGCCCGATGCCTGTCGCCCCTCCTGGGGGCCCGATGCCTGTCGCCCCGCCTGGGGGCCCGATGCCTGTCGCCCCGCTTGGGGGGCCCGATGCCTGTCGTCCCGCCTGGGGGCCCGGCGCCTGCCGCTCCGCTTGGGGGCCCGATGCCTGTTGCCCCGCCGGGGGGCCCGGAGCCTGTCGCCCCGCCTAGGGGCCCGATGCCTGTCGCCCCGCCTGGGGGCCCGGTGCCTGTCGCCCCGCCTGGGGGCCCGGTGCCTGTCGCCCCGCCTGGGGGCCCGATGCCTGTCGCCCCGCCTGGGGACCCGATGCCCGCTGTCGAGCCAGACAATCCGGTGCCCGCTGTCGTGCCAATTGAGTCAGAGCCCACTGCCGTGCCTGGTGATTCGGTGCCCGCAGTCTTGCCAGACGACTCGGTGCCCGCTGTTCCGCCAGTTGACTCGATGCCCGCTGTTCCGCCAGGTGACTCGGTGCCCGCAGTCTTGCCAGACGACTCGGTGCCCGCAGTCTTGCCAGACGACTCGGTGCCCGCAGTCTTGCCAGACGACTCGAAGCCCGCTGTTCCGCCAGTTGACTCGGTGCCCACAGTCTTGCCAGACGACTCGGTGCCCGCAGTCTTGCCAGACGACTCGAAGCCCGCTGTTCCGCCAGTTGGCTCGGTGCCCGCAGTCTTGCCAGTTGACTCGGTGCCCGCAGTCTTGCCAGTTGACTCGGAGCCCACTGTCGTGCCTGGTGACTCGGTGCCCGCCGCTCCGCCTGGGGCCCCGAGACCTGTCGCTCCGCCTGGGGGTCCGGCCCCCGCCGCTCCGCCTGGGGGTCCGGCGCCTGTCGCTCCGCCTGGGGGCCTGAGACCTGTCGCTCCGCCTGGGGGCCTGAGACCTGTCGCTCAGTCTGGGGGCCTGAGACCTGTCGCTCCGACTGGGGGCCTGAGACCTGTCGCTCCGCCTGGGGGTCCGGCGCCTGTCGCCCCGCCTGGGGGCCCGATGCCTGTCGCCCCGCCTGGGGGCCCGATGCCTGTCGCCCCGCTTGGGGGCCCGGCGCCTGCCGCTCCGCTTGGGGCCCGATGCCTGTTGCCCCGCCGGGGGGCCTGGAGCCTGTCGCCCCGCCTGGGGGCCCGATGCCTGTCGCCCCGCCTGGGGGCCCGGTGCCTGTCGCCCCCGCCTGGGGGCCCGATGCCTGTCACCCCGCCTGGGGGGCCGATGCCTGTCGCCCCTCCTGGGGGCCTGGTGCCTGCCGCTCCGCTTGGGGGCCCGATGCCTGTCGCCCCTCCTGGGGGCCCGGCGTCCGCCGCTCCGCTTGGGGGCCCGATGCCTGTCGCCCCGCCTGGGGGCCCGATGCCTGTCGCCCCTCCTGGGGGCCCGGCGCCCGCCGCTCCGCTTGGGGGCCCGGTGCCTGCTGCTCCGCCCAGTGGCCCCCGCTGCCTGCTGCTCCGCCCGGTGGCCCGCTGCCTGCTGCTCCACCTGGTGGCCCGGTGCCTGCTGCTCCACCCAGTGGCCCGGTGCCTGCTGCTTCGCCTGGTAATCCGATGTGCCTCTGCCCGGAGTCCGGCCCGATGTGCCTCTGCCCGGAGTCCGGCCCGATGTGCCTCTGCCCGGAGTCCGGCCCGATGTGCCTCTGCCCGGAGTTCGGCCCGATGTGCCTCTGCCCGGAGTCCGGCCCGATGTGCCTCTGCCCGGAGTCCGGCCCGATGTGCCTCTGCCCGGAGTCCAGCCCGATGTGCCTCTGCCCGGAGTCCAGCCCGATGTGCCTCTGCCCGGAGCCTGTCGCCCCGCCTGGGGGCCCGATGCCTGTCGCCCCGCCTGGGGGCCCGGTGCCTGTCGCCCCGCCTGGGGGCCCGATGCCTGTCGCCCCACCTGGGGGCCCGATGCCTGTCACCCCGCCTGGGGGGCCGATGCCTGTCGCCCCTCCTGGGGGCCTGGTGCCTGCCGCTCCGCTTGGGGGCCCGATGCCTGTCGCCCCCCCTGGGGGCCCGGCGCCCGCCGCTCCGCTTGGGGGCCCGATGCCTGTCGCCCTGCCTGGGGGCCCGATGCCTGTCGCCCCTCCTGGGGGCCCGGCGCCCGCCGCTCCGCTTGGGGGCCCGGTGCCTGCTGCTCCGCCCAGTGGGCCCGCTGCCTGCTGCTCCGCCCGGTGGCCCGCTGCCTGCTGCTCCACCTGGTGGCCCGGTGCCTGCTGCTCCACCCGGTGGCCCGGTGCCTGCTGCTTCGCCTGGTAATCCGATGTGCCTCTGCCCGGAAACCGGCCCGATGTGCCTCTGCCCGGAGTCCGGCCCGATGTGCCTCTGTCCGGAGTCCGGCCCGATGTGCCTCTGCCCGGAGTCCGGCCCGATGTGCCTCTGCCCGGAGTCCGGCCCGATGTGCCTCTGCCCGGAGTCCGGCCCGATGTGCCTCTGCCCGGAGTCCGGCCCGATGTGCCTCTGCCCGGAGTCCAGCCTGATGTACCTCTGCCCGGAGTCCAGCCCGATGTGCCTCTGCCCGGAGTCCAGCCCGATGTGCCTCTGCCCCGGAGTGCCTCTGCCCGGAGTGCCTCTGCCCGGAGTGCCTCTGCCCGGAGTCCAGCCCGATGTGCCTCTGCCCGGAATCCAGCCCGATGTGCCTCTGCCCGGAGTCCAGCCCGATGTGCCTCTGCCCGGATTCCTGCCCGATGTGCCTCTGCCCGGTGTGCCGCTGCCCGGAGTCCTGCCTGGTGTGCCAGTCTTTGATAACCCGCCAGTTACCAGACCCGGGCGGTGGAACATTTTGCCCAGCTAGGATTGTTTGGAGCGTCCTGAGGCCGCTCCTTGAGAGGGGGGGTACTGTCTGGAATGGACTGGCCAGCAATAGTGGGACTCAGCTGCCTTATGAGCTGCAGTACCAGGGCTGGCCAGCGGGTGCTACCAGCAATCAGAGACTCAACCTTGCAGCCAGTCAAACACCTGGAACTAATTATACTGGTGTATTTAAGGGACATTCAGACCTGCAAGACTCTGCCTTGGTGTTTGTGTTTCTCCTGGGCCCTGTATCCTGTTCCTGCCCCTGTTCTGTTCCTGTCTGATTCTCTGCTGACCCTGCTCTGATCCCTGGCTTGTCTGACCATTCTCCTCTGCCTGACCCTCTGTACCACGCTGCCCGCTACCTGCTGAAACCTGGCCTGTGACCCCGACCATTCTCCGCTTGCTCCCCCCCTGTACCTACCTGCCAATTGATATTGACCCGGCCTGCCTGACGACGCTTGCATTGTATGTACTGTTATCTGTGGGGTGGTTGGTTGGTTTGTTTGCACTGTGTTATGTTTTAGTATTGCACTGCGTTTATGTTTTGTATTGTTAGTGTTAATAAATTACATTGTTTATAATATATCTGAAGTCTGCGTTTCCCTGCGTCAGTCACACACCTCTGGTCATACCGGGAGCCCTGACAGCACTATTGGGGCCATAATCCAGCAGGTGGGAGGGAAAGAACATAATTTCACAATAAACCAGCCACATCTACTTTAAACGCAAGGCCTCTTCAACCTGTTCAGGTAAAATGTCAATACAAAGAAAGCAGTAAACAATTTCTAATCTCCTATCTCAATCCCTACCTCTTCTCCTGTGCTATTGCCACACAGCATAGTTTTCAGTAACTAACCAAACCCAATCCTGAAAACTGTCATGACAAATGGCAAATTGTACTTAGCCACAAAAAAAGTTCCACGTCAGGATGTTTGTCAAAGCCACTTTGCAGCAGTGCTGATAATTCGAGGTGTGAAGATCCAGTTGTCATATACCAAGGCCCTAATAATTATATCAGAGGTCTGCCTATCTCTGTGTGTTGGTAATTTTGACAGTCATATAATGATGATGTCTTTACATGTCGTTTTTTTTTTTCACTGCAACATCCTCTCATTACTGACGGTGGGACAGGGCATTAGACAAGTAAAGGCAAAAGGAAGGCTAAAAGCCCCAGCAAGGTACCATGGTGGAATCTACCAGACATCATTCTAATATCAAATGGTGTGCAGAAGCACAAAACTCAGTGGAACTGGCCTAATTCAGGTCAAGCCCCCCTGCAGTTAGCAGGCAGATACAACCTACTTTGGCTTATTAAGCTCTTATTAAATGTGTTTGCCAATCTGTTACCATAGGCACAGATAAGTGGTTGTTGCTGACATGTAAATATTGTATTGATGTTGGCCACATTATACATGCATAGTAATTTAGTTTTATTGTTCAGAGTGATAAAACTTTATGCATGACACCCGGAGTGTGTTTTCAAGTTTTCATTTAAACAATACTAAATGTTGAAATATCAATCGGACTACCTATCATGAATGTAATAAAAATGGGTTAAAACCAAAAAATGCATTTTCTGTTACATATAGTCTTGCTCTATATTGCAATAAATTGCTGAATATTTTCAGGATTTCTTTGATGCAATGGATTTTACCTGGTTGATGTAATCCAATA